TTATTTTTATTTAGTTTACTTTATGATTTATTTTGAGACAGTCTCACTCTGTTGCCCGGGCCTTAGAGTGCCGTGGCATCAGCCTAGCTCACAGCAACCTCAAACTCCTGGGCTCAGCGATCCTTCTCCTCGCAGCTCGCCTGCGCAGTGGCTGGGACTGCAGGACATGTGCCACCATGCCCCGGCTAATTTTTCTATATAGATATTGTTGCCAATTAATTCTTTCTATTTAATAGTAAGACGATGGGTCTTGCCTCTTGCCAGCCTGGTTCTGAACCCTGACCGTCGTGAAGTATAGTAGGCACTGAGGACACAAATAGGATGATTATATTTTTCTCTACATAAAGTAGCATGTGATTTAGTGAGGATATTAAATACAGCCAAACAGTCAAAGTATTAGATAAAACAAGCAGAGTACCATAAAAGCTGGGAAGTAGGGAAGATTCTTGGAAATTAATATTTGAGCTATGATGATTCTGGAGGATTTGGGCATGGTAGGGGGCACGTTACAGATAAAGTCCCTAGCTGTAGTATCATAGTGTTGGAAGAGTAAAATGGGGTCGGAATGTAGAGAAACCTTTAAAAACTACATTAAAGAGTTTGAACTTTTATTCTCCACTGGTCTCAGAACAAAGGTTTTAAAGAGGGAAGTATAATCAGTACTGGAGGGATTAGGGTAGGGAAGAGATTGTCTAGGAAATGATTAGTTCTGAAGCAGGATACCAGCAATAGGAATGGAATATTTACAGCTTACTTGGGGGAAAGGAAGTCAAAGAGGCACAGCCAAATGAACTGAACAGGAATGGAGAAGAGCAGAGTGTTTGGAAAAGAAAATGATGAGCTCAGGTTGGGGCCTATTGGAGAGCTATAGTATATTCCAACATTATCCCAAAGCAGGCCAGTGGAGTAGCAGTCAGACTGTGGGCTGGACAGGATGTAAAATTTTTGAGGAAGCCACTTAGGTTTGAACTCTGCAATTTCACAATCTTTTCCTTGGTAATATTGTCTAAGAGGACTAAGAACAGTTCCATGAGCACAGTTTGTCCTATTCAGTTATGCAAAATGTAATCCTTTTCTTAGTTGTAGCATTTTTCCTCTTAATTTTTACCTTTTCTCACTCCATTTTATTCCAAAAGACATTTTCAGTTTCCATATTCTTTATGTACATGGTCTTGGCCTTTGAAGTCTAAGATTTGAAACAGATAGTTATACAAGAGAGTTTAAACATGTTTCTACTACCTTATTGTATTAAATTTTTTAAAGCTCTCCCCTTTATGTCCTTCCTCTATTTTTTTTTCTATATATATATTAGTTGGCCAATTAATTTGTTTCTATTTTATAGTAGAGATGGGGTCTTGCTCAGGCTGGTTTCGAACTCCTGACCTCGAGCAATCCGTCTGCCTCGGCCTCCCAGAGTGCTAGGATTACAGGTGTGAGCCACCATGCCTGGCCTGTTTCCTTCCTCTGTTGTTCTATGTGGCATGGACTATAACTATAGACATCAGGAACAGAAATATGAAGTTTAAATATGAAGAAATGAATCTTTGAAAGGGGAGGAATATTTTCCTTAACTCTAGCCACATGTTCACAGGTGTTCTATATAATAAAGCTTTCTTGATGACTTATAAAATGTTGTGTTTTTGCTAGAGCCCTAGCTTATGAAAGGATTAACATTCTTTAATTTCTTTAGGCTCTGAAGAAAGCTAACAAGCAAGTTTTAGAGCCTCTGATGAATCTCGAGGTTACAGTAACTAAAGATTATCTCAGCCCTGTCCTGGCAGACCTGGCACAAAGAAGAGGGAACATTCAGGAAATCCAGACCCGCCAGGACAACAAAGTTGTTATTGGATTTGTTCCCTTAGCAGAAATGATGGTAGGTACTTTGTGACTGAAAAGGATATGTTTTTTAAATTTAGGGGATATATATTCCAAGTGAAAACAGACAGTAACCTGAGAGAAGCGTCATGTCTTTGGTTTAGAGAATACATATTATGTTTCAACCATCAGCAGCAGTTAGGACTTTGCAGAAATCCAGGAATTATAGCACTTCAGGAGGTTATCTCCAATTCTAGGACCACAACAGTTGAGGTGTGCCATACCAACATGTGGCACCAATGTAAATGACCATTTTTTCTATTCCAAGCATTTTTCTTTTTGCCATTGTAAGTTCAAAGGCAAGTGTCATTTTTCTCCCAACACCATCTTCTGCTGTAGAACAGGCAGGCACCTGCGTACCAACAGATTAGTAGGAAGGGCAGAGTTCTCTCACCAAATGCCAGGACCTCAAAATACACGTGCAGCATAGCTGCACTACTGTTTTTGGTCATCTACAATATTTTTGAAACCAATTTCCCCTGAAATGGCTAAGTGATCTGTTTAGGGAAAGTGCTATAGCTAAGCCATATGAGTGACATCACCTTTCCCTGATAATAGGCAAAGGATATAAAGAAGAGAAACTTGAGGCTTAAACTTGATGGGATAAATGACTTAAATTATTTTGATTAGGGTTATTCCACGGTGCTTCGAACGCTAACTTCAGGCTCAGCTACTTTCGCCTTAGAACTATCTACTTATCAAGCAATGAATCCCCAAGAGCAAAGTACACTGCTTAACCGGAGAAGTGGCTTGACCTAGATGTTTTAGGTCCTTGGAAAGAACTAGTTTTCCATAAGAATCATTTTTATTGGTTTAATTATTGGACAAAAAAGTTACTGAACAGTAACTTGAGAACTACAATGGCACTGGAACCGGAACCGTTCATTTGTAATGAGAAATGTGCTTTGATGTTTAAAGTAAAAGTAACTTCACAGATGAACAACATGATTCAGGTACAAAGACTCAGCCCTTTGGAATATATTGATTATAAACTCTCACGAGAAAGATGCCGGATTTCTATATGTAATGTAAAATAAGAGGTTCAATCAATAAAAATTTATTCAAAAAAAGTCTAACAAATCTTAATTTACATGATTTTAAAAGCAAGTTGATTATAATACAGAGTGCTGTGCCTTCTATTTGTTTCAGCTCATTTTTACATGTTGTCATCTTCGTTGCAATATCCAGTAAAAAGAGGTTGTGCAGCTATTCCACGCCTATAGACAGATAACATGAATAAAGATGTTTCAGATTAACTTATCTGCCACCTTAAAGAACTTAGCTTAAATTAAAATCACAGCATTACTGAAGGAAAAATCACTCATTACTAGAGTTCTAAGTTATACCACAATTCTATATATTTTTACCTATAAAAAAATAATTCCCAGTTTCTCCTAATTACTTAGATAAGAGGCATTTCTATGTATAGCCAAAAAAAAAAGCGAGCACCGAATAAGAGGGTTAAATTATCTTGGCTTGAGAAGTAAGTATCTTACCTGAGCATTCTGCAGCGGTGCATCGTTAGTCTCCTGTAGGCATTGCCTGTATCTCTGACGTTTTGGGGACTCCAGAGTCTCTCACCAATAGCACTCGCCCGAGGCCTAAAATTTAAACCACATGTCCCCCAAAACAGTTAAAATTCGTGTTTTCTTAAATAAGTACCTGAATCATATGCTTGGGGAAATTCCTAGTGCTTTCCTACTTGGAAGGAGAAGGAGAGCTAAGGCACCTTAATTCTAACCACAAATGCTATCACTTAAATTTCATACCATAATCTTGGAGTGAGGTTAGTTGAATCCACATATTCTCCCCATAGACAAGCTTCTCCACCAAGGACAAGTTGTTTCTGTTCTTGACTACCTACATTAAAAATAGTGAAATGATACAAGTTAGACAGTTCAAGGCTTGTACATAGGAGGAGGAATTAGTATTGCCTCTATCTTTATCCCTGGGCAACATTTCTCTTCTATAGTCAGCAGGACCTTGGGAGATGTTCATGGTTGTGGCACAAAAAAGGAGGCAAACTTTATTCTCACCCCTGACCCATGGTTCCCAGCATGTGTTAGCATCATACACATATGTGACAGCCTAGTATTAGAGATACTATTTTGGTTGTATGCAAACTTACTTGGATACCAGAAACCATTTTTTAATTGGTATGCCAGTTTTTTTGGTTTTTTTTTAATGGGCTGTACCACCATGCCTGCCTTTAGTTTCTATCAAAAAGAATCCTGAGGACCTATTTTATTTTTAACAGTAATTACAGGTTTTTGATCATCAGAAAATAAGCTAGAGAAAATTATATCAATTCTCAATAGACCTACAGTTTTCAAATTTTAAACAGCAAAATCCTTTTTCAAAGGAAATTTTGTACTAAAGCTTGATATACAAAACTGAACAAAGTAGAACTGTTCTTTTTCTCCTTTTCCTTTTTTTTTTTTGTAGAGACTGGGTCTTGCCATGTTGTTGAGGCTGTTCTTGAACTCCTGGCCTAAAGCGATCCTCCCACCCCAGCCTTCCAAAGAGCTGGGATTGTAGGTGTGAGCTGCCGCACCTGGCCTAGAACTGTTCTTAATGAAGGAGGTCTGAACACCTGAAGCTCCATCACTCACACACATTCCCTCCTGTCACCCGCTCCCCAACCGCTCTCCACCAAGGATGCTTACTCCTCAGAACCGTATGACTACACAGCCTGAAATCCACTTAAATCACATCTCCCAGAGCAGTTATTAAGTTTTAGACTATAGCTTTGCTTAGGTGTCTTACATTGGAGAGAATTCAGAAGAGGAAATACAAAGTTAAGCAGTCAAAGAGCTTTCAAATGTAGAGTGACAAGACTCATCAGTGAAAATGGAGATAAAATCTAAAGATCTACTTTTGAACTTCTTATATTTAGGCAAGTATATTACACGGTTTCTTTTTTCTTCTTTTTTTTTTTTTGAGACAGTTTCACTTTGTTCACTCTGTTGTCCTGGCTAGAGTGCCATGGCGTCAGCCTAGCTCAGAGCAACCTCAAACTTCTGGGCTCAAGCAATCCTACTGCCTCAGCCTCCCGAGTAGCTGGGACTACAGGCGCCGTGTGACCGGTTAATTTTTTCTATATATATATTTAGTTGTCCAGCTAATGTCTTTCCATTTTTTTTCAGTAGAGACAGGGTCTCACTCTTGCTCAGGCTGGTCTCGAACTCCTGAGCTCAAACAATCCACCTGCCTCAGCCTCCCAGAGTGCTGGGATTACAGGCATGAGCCACCGTGCCTGGCCTATATGATTTCACAGAGTTTAAAATGATACTGAGTTTTTTTCTTTATTTAACATACTGCCATGTGCGTTGTATTTAACTCAGGCTAGTTTTGACCCCAGGGCCTCATGAAGCAAAACCCTGCAGTTGGTTCAGTGAAAATCTTACTTTTTGATGTTCTTACTGTTACAATTTAATATTGACGATTTAATTCTAAAAATGTGGATTGTGTTGCATATAACTCATGCACAGAAAACCATAAAAGATAATTAGAAAGGATGGTTTTGTTTTAATGAAACACAGTGGCCCTGGGGAAAAACAATTTTTTTTCTAGTGCGGCAGTCAATGTGTTAAATACACACAAATCAAGGGTCAAGCATAAAAGGGAAGATAGTAGATAATATCTAGGGGAGAGTTTCCTGGATAGGGGATTAGGGAAGAAAACTAACAAACCAAGGTAATGATGGTTGCTTCACTTACCTGCAAAATTAAGAGGTTCCACTTCATAGTATTTTTCCCAGTCTTGTCCATAACTAATTAAATCTAAGTACCAAGGAGCAGAAATGATTACAGGGAAGCCAGATGCTGTGATTTTACTTATTTCATCAAAATACCTGTTGTTTTTCCACACTTCAACTATTGTGCCTGGCTGAAGCTATAAAAGTCACAAATTGCAATACATATTAGGTCTCACAAATACAGTAGATTAAATTAAAAGTTTAAGGCATTATGGCTAAGAACATAATTTTCAAAGATCCATGAAAAAACACATTTTCTTTTTTCCTCCTTCCTGCAGATTTAGTACCATACTTTATTCATTCATATAATTCATTCATAAAATTCATGAATTTTAAATTCATAGGGATTTAAAATTAGAAGTTTCATTCACCTTAAGGTTGGATATTATCTTTTGCCTATGTATGACACCATGTAGGTGCAATAAACTAAGGCTGAGATTTGCAATTTACTATCATTTCTACCACACTAAGTTTTACTTACTTTGGAACTATGAGGATGTCATTAATACCTCTGGAATGGTAATACTAGTAGATGGACTCACAAATTCCTAATTGCCCCAAGGAAAAGTAAGAATTCTATGTCAGAGAGAAAATACCATTAAAAGAAATATATATACACACACACACACACTGATAATTTTACCTACTACAAAACTATTTTAATAGCAATAAAGACTCATTTGTTCTTTTTTTTGAGACAGTCTCTCTCTGTTGCCCAGGCTAGAGTGCCGTGGCTTCAGCCTAGCTCACAGCAACCTCAAACTCCTGGGCTCAAGCGATCCTTCTGCCTCAGCCTCCCAGGTAGCTAGGACTACAAGTGTGTGCCACTATGCCCGGCTAATTTTTTCTATATATTTTTATTTGTCCAATTAATTTGTTTTTTTTCTGTTTTTAGTAGAGACAGGGTCTTGCTCTTGCTCAGGCTGGTTTCGAACTCCTGAGCTCGAGCAATCCGCCCGCCCCGGCCTCCCAGAGTGCTAGGATTATAGGCGTGAGCCACCGCGCCGGGTGGTGGGTGGACTCATTTGTGTTCTTACTGTCGGAAAAAAAAATTGAAGTACTTCTATTTGTGACTCATAATGAGAGAGTGGGGGAAGAGGGTGGAAAGGATAGAAAAGAAGGAGGAAGCATTAAGTCTTATGTTATCAGATGCAGTCTTCACAATTCTTACCTTCACTTTATCATCAAAAACCTCTTGCCAAACAATGGATCCCTTCTTTATGGTTGCAATAATATCCAAAAGCCTAGCATTGCAAAAAATCACAAAGTTCAGATTGAAAGCTCTAAAACATGCACATTTTCTACCAAGGATTACTTGCAATGTTGAAAGGTCCCTTTAAGTATAACAAAACTTTATAGCAGAATCAGCTGTAGTTGGGCATTGACCCAAGTTGTTCCTTCTTTCTAGCAAATGGTATAGAACCTAACATAGTATAGGGGTTTAATAGTCATTTGCTGGAACAGTGTGCTTAAGTATGCCCCTAAGATGAAGAAGTAACCCCAAACTGAGTTGATAGGCAAACTCAGGAAATTGTACCAACAATCTCTGATAATTTTGTGGCTTTCTTTGAATGGAAATCATAATCTAGCCTGTCATATCACCTAAATAACATTCAACAGTTGCTGATAATAAGTCTACAAATATTGACAGGTATTTAGAAAATGCCAGGTATGCTGCAGATATTGTTTAGTAAAACAGAAGGATGTGCAACTATATGTGGCCCATGAAGCCTGAAATATTTTTGCTGTCTGGCCCTTTACAAAAAAGTTTGCTGATCCCTATTATAGACCAGCACTGTCCAGTATAACTTTCTGCAGTAATTGAAATGCTGTATATATGTACTTTCCAATATGGTAGCCACTGGCCTCATCTGGCTTTTGAACACTTGACATGTGGCTAATGCAACTGAGGAACTGAATTTTTACCTTTCTTTAGTTTTAATTAATTTACATATAGCCACACATGGGTCCTCAAACTTTTTAAACAGGGGGCCAGTTCACTGTCCCTCAGACGTTGGAGAGTGTGCACTGTGGGCCTGGGACAAGTCAGCTGCTAAAAAGGACAGGCAGCGGCCGCAAAAACACACCCGGCGGGCTGGATAAATGTCCTCCAGGGGCGCGGCATGTGGCCCTCAGGCTGTAGTTTGAGGATGCCTACCATATTGGATATCACAGAAACAGAGAACAAAAGATAAGCTCCTGGAATTAACAAAAGGGAATAAATTCCAGGGGCTGGGTGATGGTGAAGACTTCCCAGGGTAGCTAGGGTTGGAGCTGCATTTTTAGAACATATAACCGCATTCCTGTTTCAACAGTCATTGCATAACACTTAGAGTCACACCACGTTATTGATTTAAAGAAAGCAGTGGATACCACTTCCTTCTTTGGTGATTTTTCACATCTATACTTTGGCAAGGGGTGGAGAGAAAAATGAAAAAATAAAGCATAGTACTAAATAATAGCTTAAACATTGAAAAAAATACAGCACAGTGCTAAAAAGTAGTTTAAACTTTTACAAAAAGCATTGATGAAATACAGAAAAACAGACTTTCCAATAACTTACTTTTGAATATAGAAAGACTCTAGTTTCCTGAAATCACTGCCAAAGCCTTTGTCCTTCATGAAATTTTGTATTTTGGGATTCGATTCCCTTAAAGAAAAACGGCGATTAAAATTTCATTAAAAGTTTGATATGCCCAATTATTTAAAGCAGCATATATTCCTAACATCAGTTGCGCAGACTTAAAACTACTAAAGTTTATAGGGAATAAAAGTCTAAAAACATAAGGCTTTAATTTTCCACCACAAATAATTTTTTCCAGAAGCTGACTTCCTGTAAAAATGGCTTTTTTTACCTACCCATCTCTCTCCTCCACCTAAAGCTATTTGCAAAGAGGATTTTTATTTGAAAAAATCTTCCCCATTTAATCATTGCCCTCTTTCATTAAAAACGTTCATTTCACAGTAGTCTTTTTGAATCTCCATTTTCTTCTCTATTCTAATTCTCCTACCAAAGCTTTTACTTTGTCATACCATTCAAATGTACATTCTACAAAAGTCCACCATCTCAGGAGCTATATTTCTCAGTTTAAACCCTTATATGCAGAGACCATCTACTTCAAATGCAGCTTTTTTAAAAAATGGGGGTTTTAAAGAATCATCTTACCAACAGTTAAAATCCACTTCATCTCCCCCCAAATGAATGAACTGATCTGGAAACACCTTAGAAATTTCTCCAAAAAATGTAGTAAGGAAGCTATAAGTTGTATTCAGAATAGGGTTTATAGGTCCAAAACTGTCCAATTGTGTTTGTCCATTGTAACATGGAGTCAGGAGATTTTTCCGACCTAGAGAAGAAAACATAATTCCTTTTTAAAGAAATTTGTTTATCACAAAGACCTGGCTTTGCGTATGATTATATTACTTTGTTTTGCTGAAGCTATAAGAGGTTTTATATACAAAAGATAAGCATGTTTACTAGGAGTTACTATGGTAATTTCTTCCAAATAAGATGAGGGAGAATTGTTTCCTGAGTTCTGTTTCCTTTTCTATCCAGCCTCTCTTGGAGATTTTACCCACTTTAAATATTAATGACTCCCAGATCATCATCAGCTTGTCCCAACCCTTTTACTTGAGCTTCAATGCATATTTCAGATTCCCTGCTAAATGCAACTGGAAATCCTAGCTGCACTTCAAATATGATCTATCAAAACCAACATCTCCACTCCTTAAACTTTCCCTCCTCTATCTTCTGATTTTCATATTCTATTATAGTAAGGATAAAGTCTATACCTCCTTCCTCTCCTGCAGTCAATAAGTTGCCGAGTTCTATGGATATTTCCAGAATGTCATTTATGTCTGTTATTTTCCATTCCTGCTATTCCTCTCCTGGGCTAGGACTTTACAGTCTCTTTCCCCTTCCAATCTGTCACTTTCACAAAGGTTCTCCGGAGGTATGGCTCCCATCATGTCACTCCTCTGCTCAGAAATTTTCACTGGTTTCCAGTGTGTCCTAATGAAGCCCACATTCGTCACCGAAGCCCCTCTGTAATGTACCTTTCCAGATTACTTCCCTCTGTTCCCGATGTCTACCCTAATAATATTTATTGAGCAATTATAAATGCTAGGTACATCTACACTCATTATTTAATCCTCAAAAAAAATTACATGGTAGCTACTATTAATAGCCACATTTTATAAATAGGGAAACCGAAGATGAAATGTTATATAACTTGCCCAAGATCACTCAATTTATAAACGGTAGAAGCAGGATTCAAACCTACACACTTTGGCTCCAGAGCTTAAGTTCCCCCTTTGCTACACTATATTCCACTATCTACCTGTCAGGCATATCTTAGCCTTTCCTCATGCTATTCCCTCTACCAGAAGCACAAATATATTGTTTGCTCCTTCAAAAGCATTTTAAGTGTTACCTCATCCGTGAAACTGCTTCTTGAATTCACTTATCTTCTACTTGTTGTAATCATTTGTTATGTTTTCCTTTTATCCCTTCTTTATAATTTAGGTAGTACCCAGACACAGTGACTTGCTGACAGTAGATATGTAATAGTTACTGAATCACATTTCTCAATAGTGCTACTGTTGTACAAATCACAATTAAGAATAAAATGAACAAACACCAAGTCATAAAAGATGCAGGGCCTCAAATGTTCACTTTTTGCAACTTATAAAATAAAAACTCCTTACCTTTCCCCCAAGATTGCGTATGTCCAGGGGTATCAAATTCCGGTAGGACTCGAATCCCTCGTAATCTGGCATATTCAATCACCATATGGACATCATTTGATGTGTAAACATGAGACGGAGTATAGCTTCCCTGTAAAGGCCACATTTATTCAAGTTAAAATGTATGAAGTGGATCTGGTCCTAGAAATTGTTAACAATCCTGTTTTCACTTTGATACCTGATAGCAGATTTTTCCACTATCACAATGTATTAAATAGTTCTATGTGATATTGGATGATTCGTTTAAAAATAATCTAGTACCATAACTTCAGGAGTAGGGAATCTAGAGAAATAAGAAAGCCAATTTCTACTAAGTCACACATACCCCAAGGATAATAGCCATTTTGGGGCTTTTGTCAAATCATTTGTTTACTGCATCTTAATAAATTGTCAGTATACTTTGGGTTAATCTCAGATCAACTGATAGAAATATCTATCTCCACCAGTGCTTCCTGTTTCAAGAATGTCTAAAAAAAAACTATGATAGAAGACAGAGTCTCACTCTGTCACCCCTGCTAGAGCACAGTGGTGTCATTATAGCTACCTCAAACTCGTAGGCTCAAACGATTCTCCTGCCTCAGCCTCCTGAGTAGCGGGGACTATAGGTGTATCTACACCTGGCTAATTTTTACTATTTTTTGTAGAGACGGGGTCTCAGTCTTGCTCAGGCTGGTCTTGAACTCCTGGCCTCAAGTGATCCTCCCGCCTCAGCATCCTAGAGTGCTAGGATTATAGGCATGAGCCACTGCACCAGCCCAATCATGCTGTTTCAACTTCATGTAATCAAACAAAATATTTCCAACATAAAACCTCTGAAAATATTGCTCGTCAATTTTAGAATCAAACTTCACACATTACTGTAATACAAAAAGCACAGCGGTTGTCTTTTAGTCACTGTAATTACTATCAGCTTTAAAAGTTCCTTCATAGACTCTCTGATAAGTGACCTGATTTTTTCTTTTTTAAAGATTACCTCAGTCCCTTTTATAGGTCACTTGGAAAATTAGAACTCATTATTGGCTGCAACTAAATATAAAGGTCCATTAAAGGTGTTAATTAGTACATTTCTCAAAGTATGGGATGTAAGTACTCAACTTTTGAAAAGTAGTCTTCCCCCCTGAACCTCTAAATCAAATCTGTATCAAGACTAGACCTAACTACCAGTTTACAGTACACTCAGGGGACACTATGGGGATGCAATCAGCAAAAGCCAGACTGTGGGAAACCACAGAACACGCAGCTCAGTGTCTTCAACAATAACAAGGACAAAGATGGGGGAGGGGCCCTACAGATCAAAAGAGGACATTAACTGACCACAACATACGGACCTCATTTGCATCCCATTGCAAATAAAATGATTTTTTAAAAAAGAGGAAAAGACACTTGAGGAAATGTGAGAATTGATTGGCTTCTTGATTACTGTTAAATGATTAGCTGCAATAACATATTATGGTTTAAAAAAACAAAACAAAACAGGCCTTTTTATAGTGAGATGCTATCTGGGACTCGATTCAAAATCACAGGGCGGGGGGATGTCTGCAGAAGTACACATGATGCAAGATTGGCCATGTATTGATTTTGGAAGGTGGGAGATGAGAACATGGGAATTCACTGAACTATTTCTGTATATGTTTGAAATTTTCTGTAATAAAAAGTAAAACAGAAGCAAACAAGCACAAGTGCTGCTAGCATTTCAGCCTATACTATATCTTAACATTGGAGAAAGTTTTAGAATTATGGCCAGAGGACAGAGTTAAGAGTCCTGGCTCTGCAGATTCCTAACTGCAACTTTAGACAAAGCATCCAGCTTCTCTGGATGTCAGCCAGGGAGACTAAACTGGGTGAGGGTCCCCCTCCCAGCTCCACTGCTCTGTAACACAGTCAACCTGAACACTTCCAACTGAGACCACCATTATTTTCTAAGAAAGAGCTCTCATCTCGAAAATTCCCTAATTCATGTCATTTTTCAGAGAAAAAAAAAGTCATTTACAGATTCTGTTGAGAACAAATATACTGTTGGACCACTTGATAAATACAGTACCTTAACTACATGTATTTTGTCTATTATTCAGGTCTTCTACATTACATTTTAAAAATTTTACTTATACTGCCCCTAGAGATTATTTATATTTATAATAACATTTACAACAACAAAAAACACAATAGTTCTATGGATCTAAAATGCTAAGTGATAGCCTAAAAAAAAGAAAAAATTCAAAACCACGAACATCTAACTTTGATTCTATCCATAGGAAACACATTTAACCTACAAACTTCTAATGAAGCTATACCAAAGATTTTTGTAGACAGACTACATGATTTACTCACTTTATTGCTTAACTCGGGAAAAGTGATGCTCTGATAAGGGAAAGATTCGTCGTCAACTATGTGCCAGTGGAGAACATTAAATTTATTAAAAGCCATGGCATCCTGCAAGCAAACATTAAAAAATTATACACTACAATATATACAACCTGTATTACATATCTGCATTTGGGATTGATTCCAGTAAGTCTGCTTCCTTTTAAACTTTTTCAGCAAAGAATGTGGAAGAAATATAAATTTTTCATTGTATTACTTTACATGACACGTCACCATTCAGAAAACCTATATAGACTGCGTATTCTAGACAGTGAGGTATAAGTTCGCTCTTTCGGAAGAGAGCAAGCTTTAAGCTGCCAGTATTTAGGGGTCTGCCAAGAATAGAAAATAGTTCTTGGCTGCTGCTGCATTTGGGAATACAGCAAAAGAAAAATGGGTTAATTCATTTAAGTGTCAGGGCTTAGAATTCCCACAGTTCTGCAATTTGAGTCCCAACCCTTACAAATGAAAAGAAATTCATTACAAACTAAATACTATTCCCAGATACATTTTTGGGCAAATTGACATATTGATTTTATGTATACTCTGGAGGAATAAATATAATATTTATATAAGCAGACTATTAGAAAAAGATAAAAATAGTAAGGGGGAACATTTGTCCTACCAAATAATCAAAACAGCTTACATACAAGGGGATGATGCAAATATATACATATATTGAAGGTAATCAGAGGGTTTTCACTGTTAGAAAAAGGGTACAAATAGGGGTGTCAACTGGAATTGAGCTTATTAAGTACAATCTCATGGTTTTTAATATAGACCAGTGATTGGCAAGCTTTTTACAGAAAGGACCAGACAGCAAGTATTTGACTTGGTGAGCCATGCAGTTTCTGTTGCAACTGCATTCCTTTGCAGTTGTGGAGTGAGACAGTCTGCGAACTTACTTATGTGGCTATATTCCAGCAAAACTTTATCTGCAAAATTGGGTGGCAAATTGGATTTGGCCCTTTGGCTATAGATTAACCCCTGACACAGACAGAGAATAGGGAAAGACGCATATGTTCATATACATAAATACATACACACACACATACACACACACATTTTCTAGCTCTGCTCAGAGGGTCCAGACTTTGGTTTCAAAGTATTGTTCACTACTACAAGGGTTCCTTGAAGAAATGTTTGAATTCAGACTGGGACAGGGAAAAATAAGCCTGGAACATCATGTGCTAAAAAGAAAGTGATCAAAGATTGAAGGGACATGCCAAAAGGATCTAACAGCCAACTTGAAGGACTCCCACTGGCCAAACCTGGGGCAATTTGACCATTAAATAGGGAAAGTAACAGATTACAATCTGTTGAAGAAATAGTAATCCATGAGTCCATACTCTAAAAATAATAAATAAATGAAAGAGAAGGGAATGCTCTACCTTACAGTAAAATGCCAACTAATAAATAATGGCAGGAATGATGAAATCAGAAAAATCACCTTAGTAATAACTGATTTAGGCAAAAATCATCTGTGGATACTAAAACTAGCAGGTGAACACTGGATGAAGAATGGGAATTTTACATAGTCTCAAAATTTCTCCCCACAAGATACTTAACTATTACTACTTATTAATAAGTATAAAATACTTTTTAATTAATGTTGCAGTAGAGAAACCTGGCAGATGGCATCTTAGCCAAGTTTTATAAGTGAACATTACCAGAAACGAAGTCAGACACTGTGCCACCTGCCATGCACTGAGAAGAACAGAGCATCACTTATGCTTTGCTCCTGCCAAAAAGGCATGACTGAATCTAATCATGTGGAAAGCAGACAAGCTAGGATATACTCCACAAAGTAACTGACATTTACTCTTCAAAAACGTATAGTCTTGAAAGACAAGGAAAGATAAACAGTTCCAGACTGAAAGTGGCCAAAGAGACAGAACAAGGAGATGTGCCTGATCTTGGATTGCATGCTGAACCTATAAAAGATGTTGTTGGAACAAATGAAATATGAATGGGGTCTGTGAATTAGGTGGCAGTACCGTGTCAATTTCCTGATTTGATGGCTGTGCTGAAGTTATTAAAATGTAACCTTTTTAAAGAAATTAAGTGCCCCTGAAATATTAAGGGGTAATGTGACAAATGTGCCCATATGATTTAGAAAAAAATTTTTTAATTGAATAAATAAGGTAAATATGATACATTTTTAATAAATTTAATAAATATTTTATATGTAAATAAATATAAAATTTTACAATTGGCGTATCTAGGTAAAGAGCATATGGGCATTCTTTATAAACTTCTTACAATTTTTCTTTGAGTTTAAAATTATTTCAAAATAAAAACAACTTCTAAAGCTATAGAAACTAAAACCATCTGTACTGGCCCAAGAAGATAAACTGGTAAAGACAGAGTTCAGAAACTGCCTCATGTATTTATGGGAATTTAGTATTTAATATTCATTATAACTGAAAGCAATGGGGGAATTATAGCTTGCTCAAAACTGATGTTGGGATTACTGGCTAACCATTTGGAAAGTAAAATGAAGGTATCTACCATCTCTGACACACTAAAGTAAATTTTAACTGAGTCAAGAATAGGAAAAAGTATAATATTAAAAGAAAATATGAGAGGTTATTTTAACATTTATACTCTTGTTGTGGAGAAGGCCTTCCTTAGCATATCTCCCAAGACCCAAATGATAAAGGATAAGATTGAAAGACATTACTTCTTTAAAAAATTTTACAGGTAAAAGACACTACAAACATAATTTAAGAAGCAAATTTAGAAAACTTTCCCAACATATGATGGATAAGTATGGAAGCATAAGCAAAATAAAAGTATCAGTGACAAAAATCTATAGCCAAATATAACTTTAAATCAAAGAAGGCATTAACATTCTAGAAGACAAAATGGACATAGAAAATACATTTGTAGTTTGTAATATAAAAATATAAATAGGTAATAAGTAAAAGAGGCTTATATTCACTAGAAAGCAAAGAAGTACAAATTAAAACAAGGAGATACACTTTATCACCAGATTAGCGAATTATATGGCAAAAGTGTACCACACTGTTGGCCAAGTATAGTGGCTCTGACCTGTCTAGAAGGCAGTCTGACAGTATGTACCAAAAGATAAATTGTGTACGTCTGTAAGCCCAGGGATTCAGTTGTGAGAATTTACCCTCAAGAAATAACCTTGTCAAATGTGCAGGTATGTATAAGAATGCTCACTATACCATACTATTTATGATAGTAAGTTAATCAAGATATCTATCACTATGAATCTGGTTAAATATATCATGGTACATAAAATGAAATATTCAGCTATTTAAAAGGTAGCAAAAGCACAGTCTCAATTTGTTTTTTTAAGAAGTCACACTGTATTTATTAATATATTTCATTTTTAGGGTTAAAGTGAGAAAAATGGGACATAAAAATTTATGTCAATCTTTGATAAATGAAATTATGGGATGAATGTCTATTTTATGTATATCTCTATTTGAATTTTTTACACTAGGCATTTCTTTCATAAAAGTGACAAAAATATCTTTTAGAGAAAAAAATGCAAGGTATTAATATAAATGTAAAAATAATTTTTAATAGCATGGTATATTCATAAATGATCAAGTGAGGGTACATAAAAACATGGGAGGAAAACCTCCCCACTCCTACAAATTGGCAGGTTATGGTGGGGATGAACCAATAAAAAGTCCATAGGAGAAAATAGTTATTATCAACCTTTTTCCTAACTCCGACCACCTCTGAGGTTCCATACTCCTTTGGAACATTTCCCTAGGTATAAGGCAGCTCCCAGACTCCTTTTCTAATGCCATTAATAAAAAAAAGTAGAGGTCACAAAATAAAGGACACTGACTAGAAGTATGGTGACCAGGTATTCCTAACCAAAAGTTGAGGCACATGATTTGACAAATGGAAGTATATGCAGTGGGCAGTATCAAAACTGTCTTTCTCATAAATACTTGGCAAAATGCATGTTGTATGTGGCCCTCTCAATGAAAACAGGAATGCGATTCCCTAAAGGAAGGCTCCGCTTCACAGCTGAGGAAATACACTTCCCTAGCAAGGGAGGGAAGAATGCCCAGTGCCTATACTTAATACAAGAAAAACATATCCCCACCCCCCACCTCAACCTATACAACAGTTTAAGTGACCAACATAAAGTAACAGCATAAAGGGGACACATCTTTAGAATAAACAACGAATTAGAATAAAGTAACTACTTACCAGAGTTTTAAGAATAGTCTTAAGTGGCAGATAGTGTCTGGATGTATCGATTAGAATTCCTCTATGAGGAAACCTTGGAGAATCAATAATGTTGGATTCATTGATGGTAAACTATAAGACAAAATAAAATTTTGATTTTTGTTTTAGAATTTTCTCTTAAGTTCAATAAAGACTACATCTAGACAAGTATTGGATAAAAGATTAATTTAGAACAAAGTAAGTGTGAAATTTACATTTATCAGCTAAGATAAATATTTGGGAAACCTTCAGGAAGCAATAGCTAACCAGGTCACATTTTTTAGTAATAATAATTGTCTATCTGACACTTTTTAGTAACATAATAATCATACTTACTGTACCATAAGAATCTTGATAAATTAACTGGCTAAAGGTCTCTAAACCTATGGAAAGGAAAATTTATTGCATTAATTTATAAGACAAATTGAGACAATAAAAGTTATATTATCCAAACATAGACTCATAACCAGGTAAGGCAAATAAAATAAAATAGTGATATTCCTACACCCTCTAGCATATTTTCTAAAATCAAGGCTGAATTAAAAAAAAAAAATTCTCATTGCCTTTTCCATTCATCTTAAGAGTACTTTACTTCATTTTACCCATTACTAGGGTTTGTTTGAATATTAAACACACACACACACACACACACACAAAAACAGTGCTAGAATACAATACCAGTTCCTTAATGATTGATAGTATCATGAGAAATAATTTATAATATTATAGTCACTTTAGACGATACCTAAATTTAACAGAAGAAAAAAAAGCTCAGGAAACAGCCATGAATCTATCAATAAAGGCCCAATTTACAACTTATAGTGTTTTAAGCTGCAAAGTGTTACAGCTGCAAAGACTACCTCCTGAACATTTTTACTCAAGTGGATTATTCCCTTAATATACTAGATGACAGGCTAATTCCTCTAACTGGTCTTGACTTTATGAAGATTCATCATTCTAGCTGACGGCTATATAGCCAGGGACATTTTTAACCTGAAAATAGTTCAAAGTCATTTTTGCTATGCCTTCCACTCTCCCCATCCCACCTCCAAATATGGGTTCATCCAAGGAAGAATAACTTGAAATTTTCTATTATGTGGCAATACACCCAATTATCAGTTTAGTACATTGCTTTGAAAGTCTGATGGTAAACAGAAAATAAGGACTTCTTGGCCTAGAATCTAGTCACTGCATACTCTAAAAGTTCTTTATTGATATGGATCAGGACAGACATCAATAAGGATCTATTCTCCTTATCAGATCCCAGACAAGAAAGGCAGATCAAACTAATAAAAGCTTAAAACCACATAACATTACCTATAAATGATCCAAAAGATAATGATCACAGTTACATTTGTAGTAAATATCTATAGATTTGATCTTAACACATTATATCAACTCTTCTATTGATGCATAATAGATATACACATTTTGGGGCTACATGTGATAATTTAATACATTCATATAATACATTATGTGAATTGTAAAGATCATACAATGTGTAAAGATCAAATCTATAGATATTTTCAGATTCTATTTTGAAATAATATTCTTTTTTTTTGAGACAGAGTCTCGCTTTGTTGCCCAGGCTAGAGTGAGTGCTGTGGCATCAGCCTAGCTCACAGCAACCTCAAACTCCTGGGCTCAAGTGATCCTACTGCCTCAGCCTTCTGAGTAGCTGGGACTACAGGCATGCGCCAGTGTGCTCGGCTGAGTTTTTCTATATATATTTTAGTTGGCCAATTAATTTCTTCCTATTTATAGTAGAGATGGGGTCTCGCTCTTGCTCAGGCTGGTTTCGAACTCCTGAGCAATCTGCCCGCCTCGGCCTCCCAGAATGCTAGGATTACAGGAGTGAGCCAGTGAGCCTGGCCAATGATATCATCCTTATGGCTATAAACATATATAGCATAACAATGATTATTTTAGATAACACTCAGTCTGAGTCAAATCCCAAGCCTTCTCTAAAGAAGTTTTTTTTTTTTTTTTTGAGACAGAATCTCACTCTGTTGCCTGGGCTAGAGTGCCGTGGCATCAGCCTAGCTCACAGCAACCTCAAACTCCTGGGCACAAGCGATCCTTCTGCTTCAGCCTCTTGAGTAGCTGGGACTACGCACCACCATGCCTGGCCAATTTTTTATATATATTTTTAGTTGGTCAATTAATTTCTTTCTATTTTTAGTAGAGATGGGGTCTCACTCTTGCTCAGGCTGGTCTTGAACTCCTGACCTCGAGTGATCCTCCTGCCTTGGCCTCCCAAAGAATTTTTAATTACTATAACTTTGGTTGGTTTAGTTGATATTGAAAAATTTCTTTTTTAAAAACTCTATTTGAAGTTAGTACAGTATCTTCTTCTAAGAGGTAAAAGAAACTTCTGAACAGCAAATGTCCTGATGGCAAACTTTGAAGTTCAGACCCTGAAATTCACAGGAAAAGCTTTTAAGATTCCTCTCTGTCCACTGCCTCCAACCAACTCTAGGACATACTTAGCTTTTAACACTGTTCCTATAAACTTGATTATGTTTCTAAGTCCACAGGAATTTAAAATTGGGGAAGAGGGATGCTTGCTACTGAAGGCAGCAAGAAGTCATAACTAAAACAAAATCTCCTGATCAGAATAGGTTGGGGCTATTTATAGCTCTATAAACATTACAGTCCCAAGAGCATCAATGAATTACTGGGCTGTAGGAATGCAATAACCCTCAAACATTTTTTATAAGGTCAAATGATGTTGCTCCCATGCTTGAAGGCATATATGTTTAATGGAAATCATCTTAGAACTACTCAACAAAACTTTCTGTAAAGGGTCCAAGGCAGCAAACTTTTCACAAAGCACCAACTAAAAATATTCCTTCCCTAGAAAACAACGACAAAACTGCATAGAACTTACCTCGTAATGCTCCCCAAACTCTGTTGGCCTTGAGCAAAGCCACTGGTTCTTTCACAACTAAAGTATCTGTATTGGGGATTAAAAAAAAACGCTTTTGTTAATCTCTCAATGACACACAATAAATTTCTTAAATATGTATCGCTGATATTTCTAGACCATTCTTTTTTTTTTTTAATTTAAACACATATACAGCTACAAATAGACCATTCTTTTCTCTTGAGCACCACACCCGTTTCTCCAGCTACCTTCTGCACATCTTCACATAGATGTCCTGTAGCTTCTTCAAACTCTATATGCCCAAAACAGAACTCATCCCTCCTTCCTCTTCCACACAATTCAACCTGCTGGTCTCCTGCGTTCCCCACGTCAGTGAGTCAGTCACACACCATCCAGTCAGCTGAGTAGCGCATGTCAGGAATCTGGCTATTACCACCATGACTGCTCATTTTCCCCTCCAACTTCCCCTCAACAGAGTAGGGTCCTCATTAAGCCAAGATTTTAGGTCAAAAATGCAAACATTCCTCGGTGCCCATTATTCCTTGGTGACACCTCAAGTGTCACTCAAATCTCCCCTTCGGGCCAGAGAGTTATCTCTACTCTTTTCCTTCAGTTTTTTTCTACTTGCCCTGCACCCATCTTCCCTAAGTATCATCCAAATCTGCCTTAAGACTTACTCCCTAACTCTTTTGACCTTAATTCAGCTTTGTCCCACTCAACAAAGATAATTTAGCTTTGTCTCCCTCAGTAAAAAGTTCACACCCATCTAGAATGGGGCTCCCTCCAGTTGGCCACTTCTCATGAGGCACAAATCTTTGCAGTTTTGAAATCACACTCTGCCTGAGACTGGCTCAAGAGTCATCTTAGTGTTTTAGAGAGGTCTGGGGTGCAATCAACCCCAGAGAGAGTAAAGCTCCAGAGGGTATAGAGATTGAAAGCTAAAGGGTGTGACAGTGGGACTCAGCCACGGCAAAGACACTCAAGGGCTGGGGGTTAATGACTCAGTACTGTATGCTCTGGGCCGCTTCATCACCCTCCGCCACCTCCACCCAGAGGCTCACAGGAGAGTTGGTGGCAGGTAGGCAAAAGAGCTCTACCAATTGTGGGACTGTCTTGGGTAACAGTCTTCTGACGAGATAGCATTTCCTATCAGAAAACCACAGTGACGAGGTAGCTAAATGCCAGGCTAAGAACTCCTTTGCTGTTATGAGTACATCTAGTCATGTTTCCCCTCCATCTATATCAAATTCTTCATCAACTACCTAAGCAGCTCACTGTTCCGTTGGTCACTATTGAAAAGCATTTTTTTTTTTTGCCACATTAATAGTTTTGAGAGCTCCCAGAAATAGCACAAAGAGTCACCTAAAACATTAACATGTTGCACGTTTTTGATGCCAGTTATTTTCTAATAGCCAAGGACTGGCTGATATAAAAATGATTCTAATTCAATGGAAAACATATATAGCAATTAGAAGGAGATTTGGTTTTCCAAATATATGGACACATAGCTATTTAATTTCAATTTTTATTGCAAACAAAATTGTTAGTGTTAATAATGATCAATTCCCTGATGTGGGACAGGAATGGCATCTTTGACTAGTAGGTTACCCATTCTAATATACCTTTTTGCACCATATACACTTTTGTTTTGATATACAAACAACATATCAATACATTCTCCTTTAAAAAGAAAACATTATAGATAAGGCTAAAATCCCCTTCGAGATGCCTAGCCAACTCCTTATACCCTCTTTAGGGGAAACACTTCTCAGGCTTTTTCTAGGCTTACCACACACGCACAAGGAAAACCACTGCTTTACGGGCACATTCCAGCACGTGTGGATAGATGAATGGGGTCTTCCTTCACACATTATTATATAGCTTTCTTTGTTCAACTCAGTAGTTTATCCTGGCAAGCTCTCCATGTCTCTTCTTTATAACACTGCTTCTCTACTCTTAACTGTTGTACAGTACTCTTGAGTGTGGATTGACAAGATATATTTAGCCATTCCTCTACCAATGGACGCTGAGTTTTGTTTACAGGCAAACTGCATCAAACATCCTTGATGTATATAACCATTTCTCCAGAGTAGAAACTAGCCCACTATGGTTCTCAAGGTATGCATATTTTTAATAGTGCTTTAACACTTGTCACTTCCTCCAACATTTTCTCTTACTCCAGATATTTGATATCTTTTCATTTTCCATTCATTTGTGTTACTTTTATCGTCACCAAGTCGTTTGAAAACTTAGAATCTGTTTATCCTTAAGCCAGAAAATTTCACAATTACCTTACCTCAAGAAGCTTCCCTTTCACAAGATGGTTTGCGGAGCTGACTGGAAGATAAGCTATGGCTCTCCAATCTCAGTACATTACATTTTCTGGAATTTACAACATGCTCTCTGTATAGCTGAAGCTAACAGACAGCAAAGCTTCCTTGGGAACTTAATGACCATTTCTATCTCAACTCAGATTGTAAAACCTACTTCATATAGTGTCTGAATGCTGAGTATCAAATGAAATCACATGGCTGATGTTGGTAAAATTATCCTTATCTTTTCTAAGAACAGCTATCGAATTGAAGAGAAATGAAGCTATTTTTCAAAGCGATGTATTAAGAAATCTCATCTACACCAGGAGGATAAAGACACCTACTTAACCATTTATGAGGCAGTCTGAGGACAACGGAGTTGCCCTTTTCTCTAAATACGTGGCATTTTTATCTTTATATCCCAATTCCCCATCTACTCTCTTGTATTAACCTTATATTATGCATGTCCTCACATTGCCTCTCTTTGGTTCCTTGGTACAATTACACGTTACTTCCAGCCACTGCACCCTATAGAAAAGGAATGCCTTTTTTTTTTTTTTGAGACAGGGTCTCACTCTGTCACCCAGGCTGAACAGCAGTGGCCCTATCACAGCTCATTGCAGCCTCGAACTCCTGGGCTCAAGGGATCTTGCTGCTTCAGCCTCCTGAGTACCTAGGACTACTGGAGAGTACCACCATGCTTGGCAATTTTTTTCTTATTTTTTGTAGAGATGGGGTCTCACTTTGTTGCCCAGGCTTGTCTTAAACTCCCAGCCTCAAGTGATCTTCCTGCCTTGGTCTCGCAAAATACTAGAATTACAGGTGTGAGCCACCATTCCTGGCTATGCCTGATAGTTTATTCCTTCCAAAACAATTTGGAGAAATCCCTAGAGAATTATGCTTTAGGCAACAACAAAGAAAATCATTCAGCTAAATGTTGATTATATTTCAATCAAGTGAAACAACTGTACCCCCTCCCCAGTTCTACATTATTTTTGTGTAAAATTAGATTACAAAGACAGACCATGGATATATGCACAGATGACTTCAAAGAAAAGAAATTGCCTAGATGTCCAAAAGTAAGGGTTTAGCCAAATAAGCTCATCCACACAGTGGTAAAACATTAATCAACCATTTAAAATGATGTCACGGAAGGATATTTAGTGAAATTCATGAGTGTTCATAATGATTATTCCAAAAAAGCAGGATATAAAAATAAATAGCAAAATTACAAAAAGAATCCACATGTACAGAATTACTTCTCATTTTCATGCCAGTGTTTATCGTGGGTTTATGTTTATATTTCTCTGTAAAATATTCAAATGTTTTACTCTGCAAAAAATATATATACACCTGAAATAATAATGGTTAATTGTGTGTGCAGGGCTTATGAGTGATTAATTTCTTCCTCTTCTGTACTTACCACACTTACAAATTTTCTACAATGACTATATATTGCTTTTATAATCAGACCTTAAGGGTTATTTTTAAAATAAGAATTATAAGGCCATTGGCCAAGAACTCATAATAGTTCATAGAATAGAGCCTGTTTCTGGCAGTTAAGTCTGTGAACAAGCAGCTTTAAATAGGATAAGCTCACATCTCAAAGATACTTACAGGATTCATCTGAAGACACATTGGGAAATGCATCACACTCTGAGTCAAGGACAATTGTGACAAGAAGTTGTTGTAACTCTGCTCCACCCTGAAATCTTGAAGGCCCCTTAGGTCGTGTGTAGACACCAAAAATATATTCATAATACCTGTATGAGAAATAAATTTAAACAAATTTTAAAAGCGCTTTTAGCCAAATTTTAAATACATATGTACTAGAGGACATTGTAGTTGACTCCTCAAATCCATGCCACCCTTTATTAGTCTCACCAGACATTCTCACCCAAAGCTGTAAGTGAGAAGCAATTGGGAGCTCTTTGAAAATCCTGCTGTCCAGACCTTCAGAATCTAAGAGAATGGGCTGTGGGCATGGGAATTTTAAAAGCTGCCCCCACACTCCCAGGAAAGTCCCTATTAAGAATAAGTAATCAAACTCATCTATCGCTTTTGGTTATGAAACCTTCTGACCGGTGATTAGGGGGTGTATGTGTGAGTGTGGCGAGAAGGTCCTGTCCTAAGCAAGCCACAAGAAAACGTTCTCTGTATGTGACAGCAGGCTACATTAAAGAAGACAGAGCAGAGATGACAGGAATATGGATTCATGATGGTGCTATTGAGCCACTCCATCTACTAACCCTAAATTCAGTCCTGCTTTTGGACATCCTAATGTGTGAGATAATAAATTTCTTATTGCTTAAGCCAGATTGAGTCAGGGTTCCTATTGCTTTCTAAACAAAAGTATCCTAGCTGACACATGACTGTCCCCCCAAAATGTGACCAGCCCACAGAATTCTCACCAGAGCCTTTGAAACTTACCATCTATTGGTACCCAAATATCAAAGAGAATAGTAAATAAAAATTTAAAGGTGCTAAAGGATAAAAAGATCAGTAGGCTTCAGAGCAATTGTTTAAATAACATTTTATAGATTAGGGTAAGCCAGAAGGTTGTATATGCTACTTATATGTAAGAACATCTTGTGCTTTTCCAGAAAAGTAAGGAGAGGTAGGAAAATTCAGATGAGTCTGGAAGTGTATGGAAGTTAACCAGTGAGAGAATGGAATGGGAGAGGGTGTTGAGGGCCCTTCTCACAGGAAAACCTTGACAGATTAAAAAGGAAATTAAGACCACTGAAGTACATACCTAAAAATGGTTAATATGGTAAGTTTTATGTGTATTTTACCACAATTAAAAATAAAAATTTAGGCTGGGTGCGGTGGCTCATGCCTATAATCCTAGCACTCTGGGAGGCCAAGGCGGGAAGATCGCTCAAGGTCAGGAGTTTGAAACCAGCCTGAACGAGAGCGAGACCCTTCTCTACTAAAAATAGAAACTGGCCAACTAAAAATATATGGAAAAAAATTAGCTGGGCATGGTGACGCATGCCTGTAGTCCAAGCTACTCGGGAGGCTGAGGCAGAAGGATCACCTGAGCCCAGGAGTTTGAGGTTGCTGTGAGCTAGGCTGATGCCACAACACTCTAGCCCAGGCAATAGAGTGAGACTCTGTCAAAAAAATAAAAATTTTTTTAAATGGGAAATTAAAGCAGCAGCTTCGAGATCTGAGTTAGGTGCCGGCTCATCCCAAATAAGGAAAATCTTAGCCCTGAATCATAAAATTCTAACAGAAAACTCAAAGGTCTCTGAGGCAGTGATGCCAAAGGTATCTGGGTTAATTTAGCCTTCCAGGGACTGAGGGAGTGAAGCTATTGATTTATTAATCAGTGACAAGAATATGATGCACCTTGTTCTAGAAGCTGAGGAAGCAGCCATACACCTACCAGCCAAACTCTCTGCTTGCAAAAAGCATACTATTTCAAAGCAGGGTTTATGATGGAATTTGGGCTCTTCAAAGACAAGAGCCACATGATCCTGAACACCTGGAGCCTAGACTGTGTTCTTGAACACCTAAAGCTTCCTAAACATCCCAGTATTTCCAAATCCTTCCAACCCCACTGTGCTTTTACTCTGACCTCTTGAGTTCCTAGAATGCCTCACCTACATGCTTTCAAGTCTTAGCCATAAGGACTGTTTTATGATGTGCTTCCTAACTATAGCAGGTATTAATTCACAGCAGGTATTAATTGACATGAGCCATGAATTACACAAACTCTTCAGGTAATTAACCTGCCTCGACAGGTTTTCAAGCCATCTGGCGGATGATTCAAGTCCTGGTTATCTACCATTGTTAACTAATATCGCCAAGGCTTTCTGCCGTATTTATATCACTTCAGCATGTTTTACTAGCAGCATGGCACAGAAGGAAAATTCAACTTTATAAGCTGAGCTCCAAGGCAAACATTCTAAGGGTGCTTTTAAAAGATCTCCACTCCTAGTTGTGTTCTTGTAGATAACCTTTAAGTACTTCCCACACAATCCTTCTGAATATCCCAAGGCAACCAACCACTTTGGTTTTACATCTTCACCCCACTAGGGCCACAGCATTCTGGCCAGTTAGCAGATTCAATACCAAAGGCTCATTAGAGTACGCACCTAAAACAGAGGGTAGCAATATCCATGCAGTACAAAACAGAAGGAAAGCATGACCCTTCCAAAGGCAGAGAACGAACCATCTCTGCTATCAACATCAGGGGCCTTCAGCTGGAGCACCAGGCCCACCTGGGGTCAGAACAGGTTATCTAAGCTAGTTTTGCATTTTTCCACCAGCTGTTCAGCGTCCTGCAGGCACAATTAAGCTATAATTGTGTCCCCTTGGCACAGAGATACCCTGGGGGTTGGAGGCAGCACAAAGTATCAAAGTACAGTCCTCTGGAACACTACACACCTTCAGGACAGACATTCCCCCTAAAGGCAACCTTCCTTGTCTAGGGCGTGGTTAGCAAAGCCAGCCGTGTGCGCTGTGTCTCATTATGCATCAAAGGTTTCTAGGGCTGTGTAAGAGGAAGCAGGGAGAGGAAGCAGGGGCTGGTGTTGGGGGAACACACACAAAAAGCAGATACTGCCTAGGCACTGGCCCTATGAAGTAGATTACAACATCTAACAGAATTGGGAAAGGAGGAGAATTTTAGGTGGGGCTCCAACTTAAGGACTTCTGCCATCTGAGTTGTTACCAGGAGTTTTGGGGAGGATAAGTGGGTGAGTCAGGCCAATAAATGACAGTCAACTTTGGGGGATCCCTGGTCCCTCGAGATGAGCCTGCCTAAGCTCTTCCAGCTCTTCCAAGATCCCTTAGAACTCTCTTCAAATAAAAGGCTGTCACTTCCTCCCGAACTCTGGAGTTGGGAAACCAGTGTCCCCTACATCCATGTCATTTGTCCTTTTGAGGCGAACAGGGAGACCGCTTCTGAGCAACCCGCTCCTTGCACTCGGCATCCTGCACCCACACCAGGGCTCCTGAGCACCCACAGTGCCCCTTAGGAGACGGAAGGGATGGGGAAGGAGCTTTAGGCTTCAGACCGCGTTGGTGTGAACCGGCCCTGGCATCTTCTAGACCCGCGGCTTAGGCAGGTCACTAGCCCGCTCGGGTCGGTTTCCTCGCTCGTGGCAGAGGGTGGCGTGAGGGTCTGCGCCCCAGGTGGTCCGCCTCTCCCGCCCCGGGGTCCCGTCCCCGCCGGGAGCGCTCACCGCCGAAATGCTTCCTCCAGCAGGGAGCAGGAGGGACCGGCCGTGGAATCGCGGCCGTGTTGGATGTAGAAGTTCTCCGGGGAGAGGCGCATCTGGTTGGGGGTCAAGGTCACCGTGAGCGGCAGGGGCCACAGCGCCGGCCCGGGCGTGGCGGAGGCGCGCGGGGCCTGCGCCCCCAGAGCCAGCAGCAGCGCCAGCAGCGCACGCAGTGGCGGCAGCCCCAGCCCGCGTCGCTCCATGGCTGCTCTCTGCCCGCTCGGCCCAGCTGGTGCCTCGCTACTTGACTCGCAGCCCCGGCCCGGGCGGGGAGGAGGAAGCGCGGGCCCGCCGAGTCACTGAGTCAGGTGACTGCGCGCCCCGCCCGGCTCCGCCTCCGGGCCCTGGGCGCGCGGGGGACTCGCCGCGGGAATGTCCTCAGGCCGGCAGCTTCCTCGGGTACAGCATGGCCGGAGTAAGAGGAGGGCCTCCAGACAGAGCTGGGGACGCCAGCCCAGCGACAGGTCCCCTGTGGGCTACTGACTTCGGGGAAACTGGAGAACCGAAGCCTTGGAACACCTTGTTTCTCCCCCAGCCCCAAACGCGGGACAATCGAGATGGGACTTTCTGTTATTTGCTCCGAAGTCTAGACTTTTCTCTAACGGTGTTTCAGCTTTAATGAATAAAGCCTTCCCATCAGAACCCCCTGGGGTAGAGTTTTGACCAGGTGGGAGGTAAAAAATTATGCAGAGGAAATCCTGCGAGAGAGTATCTTAGAGGACTTGTTAAAGCTTCGAAAGGACCCCATGGACCAAGCTAATAGAAAAATGATACAAAGAGACACAACGATACAAATATACAGAGAGTATATTTGTGATAAAGGATAAATATTGTCAAAGCATAATTTTCAATAAACTCAAAAACATGACCGTTATAAAATATAATGAAAATGTGTCAAAGATGTATTCAATTTATTAGAGAATTATTATAGTGATAAGGCTGGTTCAAAGACTAATAATGCAACGTTAGAAGAAGATTGCTAAATAGTTTAAAAAGTGGACCTTGTCCTGCAGGGACACAGCCCTATGAGCCTGAGTTAGGGCACCAACATCCCCAATCAAGAAAAATAAAAAATAAAAAAAAAAAAGAAAAAGAAACTCTTGTTTATAAAGAATTCCTTAGAGCAACTTAAATGTTTACTTGTGACATATATGTGTGTGTGTATACATATATAATATTTGGAAATCAAATAGATCTAGGTGTAAGCAGAACAATGGTGCTGGATCCAATGTGGCAGGGATTCAAATGTCAGCTCCTCTTCTCTTTCTCTCTCCCCACCTCTCCTTATATAGCTCTACCTTTCACCTGAGCTTTTCTCTGTATTAACTTCATTCTCAGGCTGGTTTTCTCCTTAGTATGATACCCTAGCAGCCCCGGGGTATCAAGGACAACTCCTCAAGGAAGCATATGTTCTTCACTCTTCCTTGTCGGTCCTGATAAAGGATCTCGAGTGACAAGCTGAATTTCATACCCACCCCTAAGGAAGAGCTGGTGAAGTCACATAACCAACACGAAATGGAGATGCCAGTTCTGAAAAGCAAAAGAGGTGTTCTCTTACTGGAAGGAAGATGTAGTGCTAGGCAGACCAAAACCACAGACCTGCTACGGTACGTATTCTGAAAATGTTGCAATGCTGCAGGGAAAGACTTCAAGGAAATATTGTGATTGTTGAGGATCAGACAACAATCCTCCAATGTGTGGCCCTTTGGCATGTTGAATACTTGGAACCGAAGGAAAGGGGCTCAGAAGCAACACCAAAGGGGCTCAGAAGCAACACCTTTCTGCCATTTACTGCCCCCCTCTGGTCTTCTGCTCCCCTTTCTCCCCCAAAGCGGGCCATAGGAACTAGAATTCTTCTTCCCCCAAATGAGTCATAGAAACTAGAAATAAAAAAAATAGAAAGCCAGTCATAAAACCTAGAAACATTACTCTGATCTCCCCTTGCCTTTCTGTGTAGGAGCTGGCCATAAAGAAGTTCTCTGACCTACGTTGTCTGATAGTAGATCATAAGACCCTTGTTCCAAAGGGGCCCTGCCCTGTACCCAGGAGGAAGGAATACCACATAGACAAGCCACGAAGAATCTGAACAGACAGGACTTGCTAGATTTCCTCTCTCGTCTGTTACTATTGGGTCATATCCTTTTTATCTAATCACATTTCTATACGCCTATCTGCTCTGTATCAAACCTAAAAATAGACAGTTTTCCCTGGGTCTTTGGGTCTTCATTTTTCAAGCCTCTTGTGTCATGTACAATTTTGATGAAATAAATCTGTTATGCTTTCCTCTTGTTGATCTGTCTGTTGTTACAGGAGTGTCAGCTGTGCCCCTTGTGATGCGTGAGGAAAGGCACCAGACCCTTCCACCTCTACAGGGCGCATGCTTAAGGTTCTTTCATCAAAGCAAACCTCATTGTCACACTATTCTCTTCTAACTAAAATAAATTCAATTTGTAGTATTCACCATCACTGCCATTTTTTTTTTTTCGAGACAGATTCTCACTTTGTTGCCCTACGTGGCATCAGCCTAGCTCACAACAACCTCAAACTCCTGGGCTCAAGCAATCCTGCTGCCTCAGCCTCCCGAGTAGCTGGGACTTCAGGCATGCGCCACCATGCCCGGCTAATTTTTTGTATATATATTTTTAGTTGGTCAATTAATTTCTTTCTATTTTTAGTAGAGACAGGGTCTCGCTCAGGCTGGTTTCGAACTCCTGACCTTGAGCAATCTGCCGGCCTCGGCCTCCCAGAGTGCTAGGATTATAGGCATGAGCCACCTTGGCCAGCCAGGATGATGTATTTAAATTTGCTCCAGTTTGGTTTTGTTCCCCCACTCCTTAGTCCAAAGATAACAGCTTGGCTTTTAATATGTGAAACCTTTTAATTTCAAAGTGAGGACTGAAGGAAATAAGAAATATTTTACCCCAAAATATATTTCTTTGACATATTTTGGGATGGCTGCCATAGAAGTAACACTGCAAAGCTGTCTTTTGTGTATGTGTGTGTGTGTGTGTGTGTGTGTGTGTGTGTGTGTGTGTGTTTGGGGGCAAATGTACATACGCAGAGAATCTCCATTAATGCAGTCAGGATTTTGCATACTTGAGCTAGAAAAGATTAACCAAGAGTCTCCACTCTTTTCCCACTAGACTTAAGAGAGGATTGCCAGGAAGTTACCAGGACACCTGGTAGCAAAGCTTGTTGGAAATACTTGTTCCTATGTACATAGCGTGTGCCAACGAAGACACGATTAAAATCCTGCCTGCAACTCTAGGGCTGATCACAGAAGAAAATGCAAAGAGTGTTCAACTCTTTAGTCCAGGTTGTCCTATATTATCAGGTATTGTTAGATTTCCTGTTGGCTAACCGATGGGAGTCTGTGCAGCATTAAACACTACCTGCTGTATCCATATAAATACCCCAGGGAAAGTGGAAATCCGAATAGAAAAAGTTTCCCAACAAGCTATGTGGCTACAACAGGACTCTACTAGTGACCCCATGCTTGATTGGTTTTCAGGGTTATTCACTTGGATTCCCCAGGCCTTCAGATCAGTCAGCAGGAACTCCTGAAGCTAGGGCTCACTGTTCACTTAAGTACTGTGCTAAGACTGCAGATGAAAGTACTAATGTTCTTGTCACACAAACCTTTTATCTGCAACCATGCACCCATGATACTTGAAGTCAGCTGCAAATAGTGTCATTTCTCTTATCCCAGACTCAAGTCCAACTATGCCCCTTGTTAGCAGGAAGAAACCAAATCAGTAGTCTGCCCTTAACCATCTCATTAGCCCACACCTCAGGAAGGAGGTAGGGTGAAGGGGGGGGAGCAGGGGGAGTGAAACTGCCCTTTACAAATTAATAAAGAGGTGCAAGGTGAGGACTGTGGTAGGGGCCTAAACTCTGCAAAGGCACAGGCATAGTTAAAAATAATAGTAACAACTAGCCATTGTCCCCTAGCTTGCTTTCCTATTCATATTAATTGCTACTCAGGAGTCACAGAGCTGATGGTCATAAAGATTCTTAGCTTTCTTCATTGCTCCCATAGATATCGTCACCCTTGTGAAACCTAAGGCTAGTTTTTGAGATATCTTCCAGGGCCCTGCATTCTGGTGGGGCAGCTGACGCTCTAGCTGGAAATCTCCTTGGTTAGATCACAGATTCAGTGGGTAGATGCATCTACTTTCCATGTTACTGCAGGCTCTGGTGTTGTTAATCTTTCTGCCATGGCTGACAAGGATCTATTTCCTCCAGTTTCCAATAATATTTTCCTCACTTTTCTTTAAACGAGCCTCCTCAAGTCTATACTTCTATACTTCTACTAAAAGTCTTTTCAAGGTACTTCATGCTTGCATTAACCCTATATTCAAAGACATTCCAGTTTCTGTCCAATGCCCGATTCCAAAGTCACTCCCACATTTAGGGGTTTTTAATGGCAGCACTCTACTTCCAGATATTAGTTTTTCAGTTCCAATAGCATTTATCTATTGCTGTGTAACAAAATTACCAAAACTTAAAGGATGTGTACAGTTACAATGTCAATAATAGTGTCAAATTTTCCTCCAAAAGGGGTAACAGTGCATGAGAGTATCTATTTCCCAACAACTTATCTCACATTAATTTTTTTCAATTTTGTAAGCTGTTTTAAATTCTACTTCCTTGATTACTCATGAGATTGAATAAAATAAGCATTTTGTATTTCCTAAGAACCTTTTTATAGCCTTCATGTTGTTTTCTTTTCTCTAGTGATTTTTGTGAGTGACTTTCAAATTATGAATATTTTTCCTGTATACAAATTTGTCCAAAAAAATTTGTCCTAATACAAATATTATCTCTCAGTCTATCAGTTTTCTTTCATCTCTATGTGGTATTTTGTCTTACAATGGTTTTTAACTTTTTGGGGATCTAATTTGTCAATCTTCCTTTTATGCCTTTGGGTTTGTCCTGATTAGGATTCAAAGATAATAAAAATCCTCCCATTTTTTCTCTAATGCTTTTATAGTTTTGTTTTTGAATTGGATACTTTACTCCCCATTTTTGTTTTTGTACATAATTGAAGTAAGTCTCTAACTTTTGTTCCCCCCAGATGGATAGTCAATAATCAAAAATGCCATAAATTGAATAGGCCATTCTTTCTTCAGTGATTTAAAATACATTTTATAGTTTATTTTAAAATTTCATAAAGCTGTATAATTCTTTCTGATGCTCTTTATT